AAGAAAAAGTTATTTTTCATACTTCACATTAACTTATTGAAACACGCAGTGCTTTCTCTGGAAAAATGGGCAAGGCAGATGGAGGAACAGTAACTTAAACACTGCCCATTCTAGTGAACAGGGAAAGTTCATTTAATAAGCAATAAACTGCTGCTAATTATTAATTACAGTCATGTCAATTGGTCCATGACTTGTATTAATCAGTCTCTAAATGTGGCAGTGTCCATGACTGAGCTGCAACAAGTTGAGAGTGTCAGCTCTATCCATAATTTATGATGATCCTCCATAAATCTGTTCAGTTAATACAATGACACCGGCTATGTGGGCACATTAACCAATTTTTCTCCTGACAGTTGTTGGAGCCGTAACAAAGACCCACACTGAGCAGCCAGAAACAAGATTTCCACTCCTGAGAGTCTTTGGATATGGTAAGAGTTGGTATCTTGATGAACTTGCATGGTACTAAAAAAAAAAATGTCATCAAAAGATGTCTGCCCCATTCTGTGCACATCTATTGAAACTGGTAAATGCCCTAGTTTTGGCTTGGCAGGAGTTCATCGTTTGTAAGAGGACATATCAAGATGGCCTCTAGACATGTTTTACATTGAATAATCTTCTCTTCTGTAACACTCAAGTACTTTGCGCATTAATCCACATATATCAGCAATATGTCTGGTTTTTAGCTACACTTAGTTTTTATCAAATCCTTGTGTTCATTAAAAACAACACCCACGCAATCCCTATGGAGATCACAGCACCAGTGAGGTTAAAAGACACCTCTGAGACCATCGAGTCCAGCTTTTAACCAAACACCACCATCATGTCAAGAAGACCACAGCACTAATTGCCACATCCAGTCTTTCCTTAAACACTTCCAGGCACAGTGACTCCACCACCTCCCTGGGTAGTCCATTCCAATGCTCAATCACCCTTTCGGTGAAGAAATCCCTCCTAATATTAAATCTAAACTTCCTCTGCTGAAGCTTGAGATTATGCCCTCTCGTTTGTTGCCTGGGAGAAGACACCAATCCCCACACGGCTATACTCTCCTTTCGGGAGTTGTAGAAAGTGATAAGGTCATTCCTGAGCCCCCTCTTCTCTAGGCTAAACACCTGCAGCCCCCTCAGCTGCTCTTCAAGAGACTCCTGCCCCTTCCCCAGCTCCATTCCCTTTCTCTGGACTCTCTCCAGCACCTCAATGTCCTTCTAGCAGTGAGGGGCCCAGAACTCGAGGTGCAGATATTCAGAACTGTATGTATGAAAACACATGTTTACATGCTGTCTTCCTGTACAGCCAGGTTTCTGCTGCTGACACACAAAACCGAGTCTCGGAGTTCTTCCCTGAGCATTCACCATTGCCCCCTAGACACGGTGCGTGCACGCCCTGACCCCCCAGCCCTGCGGAGCTGCTCGCACCATGCACGGTACGGGCTACGAATACACGATCCCTCCTTGCCCCCATGGGCGAAAGCCAGGTCCGGAGCACCGGGCAGCTCCCCCCTTCTCCAGGACAGGACGCTCCTTCCCCCGCACTGCCCCGACCCCCGCGGGCAGGGCGGGCTGTCACCGCGTCCCGCCCG